TATATATATATATACACAGAAGTTATAGTTGCTTGAAAAAGTCTTGTCAAGATAACGCGCGAGTCTGGTTTTTTAATAATATAATTTTGAGTTTACTTGCTCAAATCCTTCTTATACCAAAGTTAAAATTCTGCTATAATTTTTTATAGTTTTCTTCTTTAATGTAATATAGCCAATTTTTCCCAAATATCGACAGCTACCTCCAACTTTGTTGCAATCTAGTCCATTTTTCATATAAATTAACGTATCAATGTATCCTTGAAATGAGAATTTATTTTATCAGGCCTAAAAAGATTCACTTGTGTATGCTATCAATCACTTCTTATATGTGATCGTAGCAACGATCGATCAATAAGCAATTCAAGGTGCATAATACGAAGCAGCGAAGCAGCAACTACTCAAATAATTGTTTATTCTTCAATGCTAGCTTTATTCGTCCACAAAGCAGGGTACTGCGAATTTATTATTTTCACATTCGTCCACGTGTTTTTCTACTTTACATTTGTAATTTATACCGATATTTATACCAATTTTGCTGACGATGCTGACGAATTACGTATTAAATAATATTGCGCGACATTCCTGTATTATACGTTTAACGCTGACTATGAGCAATAATTACACGTATTTATTGTAACAAAATTCCGCAAATTTAGTCATTGTACAAGTAAATATAAGTAAATGTATCGCGATAATATTGAAATTTCCTCAAAATATAATGTACTATTTTATGCGATATTCTTGCGCGATTAATATTGATTGCAATGGTACGTGCAGCTATTGTTCAATAGCAAGCATATAAAAACAGATATAATCGAACAGCATGTCTGAATTCCCGATATCCAATATTTGATTTCAATTCCCGATTCCTGTATCCTATATCCTGTGTCCTATATCCGGTATCATTAACTTTTAGCTTTTAAGATCAAATCTCGAACTTGCGATAGCAACCAATTTCCCGCAAAAATTCTCGTGGATATTTCCGATTTACATTCTCGTAGTTCATCCACGATTTTTTATTTACCAATTTCAAATTTATAAACAAATATTGTCTTGAATCACGCGATTACGCAATACCTATAGGTTATCTATTGTCGCTTGTAGAAAATTAAAGCGAAGCTTTGGTATCGTCGAAAATGATCTATCATCGAGTAACGTCGTCTAGTTTATGTCAGAGTGAATATTGTGAATGAAGAATATTTATTGTATTGAATTAATGTATAGAAAGAGGAACATTGCGACGGATAATAGACATTCTTGTCGATACGTTACTTTACCACGTATGAATAGTTTAGCGGTGCACAAGAACAAGTTGTGGTAAAATATATTGTAAGAATATAATAAAACGATCGTACCGCACTAAAACGGACGGTACATTACAATGTAATCCGTTTATTTAAAATACATACCTACTAAATGTACGAATTGAAATCTAAATATCAGGAAACTCAATCAATTGAACTTAATCCAAATTCGATAACGTAATAACGAATATAGCCATTTGCCAAAGATCTCATTACAATGTCCAATAATGACTTATGTAATAACAATAATTTATCTTTCTTTTATTACAAAAATATAATTGCTAGTAGCTTTATTTTAGTAATCACTAACTAATAATAACATGTATAACAATACATTCAACAAGATAATTGTTACATATCACATATGTTGTATATTACGTTTATATTGTTGTGTGTGAAATTGATATGTTACTGTTTGTTGGTGTTTACTGAGTTGTGTTTAATGTTATATAATTAATTAATTTGTTTACCAACACGAATTAAAAAAAATTGTTCAATGTCAATTTGGATTTTTTGATAGATATATAAATTTTTTTTTATTAAAATCACAATTGATGATGTTCTTAATTTTTCCAAAAATGTTATTTATAAAAATAGTTAATATAAATTTAATTTATATTAGCAAATAAAATTTTCATGTAATATTAAATAATTAAATTAAGGTTTTTAACTTTAAATGCATGGAAAAAAATGCATTTTTCTTACCTGATGTGTATTTGAAAATAAGTTGCGATTAGTATAACATTCTCATTGTTAGATGTCGTTATGGTAGTATCTTGGATGTCTTCAGTAAGTACAGATTGTTATCTTGTGTCTACAATGTTAGAAATTGCATCCAGACTTTGAAGAAAGAATTAACGAATTACATTTAAATAATTCAATCACATCACCAATGTGATTATAATCAATTTTTTCTTCATCCAAGATTTCAGACTGGTTTCTATAGCATCGTGGACGCAAAGCTTTATAGGCGAGCTGTTCTTTTTCACTCATGAGCGTTCAAATATATATATTATAATACCACTGCAGTATTAAATTCTAAATTATACGGATCTTGTAGGAGTTCTGTTTCGTCGTTCTATAAAAATTATATAAAAATTTTTAGAAAATCAATAAAAAAATTATAAAAATTAAATAAAATAATTTATACTTTTTCACCCTAACCTAGGGTTTCTACGTTCCTTATCTTTCTGCTGCAAAATATTGCCAAAATAAATATTTTATTTATACTTATATACTAAATCTTCCTAGTATTATAATGCGCATGCCTGAAAAAAGCGGCTT